GTCAAAATTTTGGTGTCGATCATTCGATTTCATCCTGGACACTACAGAAAATGGGCTAAAAGTGTTAAAAACCGGAATTTTCCTTTAAATTCATGGGAGCAAAACATGCAGAAATGAATGCTTAATATGAGACATTAAGAAAATCCCCATCAGGATCAAACATGTGTTCAGTTTCAGCCCAAATATTTAATTTTTGTTGTAGATTTTTGTAACGGGGATAAATAGGATCAATAGGATGAACTCTGTTTGTTCTCTACTCCCAAACTCAGAATCATAATCAGAAATGCTTTAATAATCCCAGAAAAATCCCAAACTCAGCATCTCTTCATCCATTCCTGCAATGAGAAGTTTCTTTTGACTGGATTTGATTAAACTTTTAAGCCTCTCGGTATAAAATAAATATTTTGATGGATGTGAGAAATCTGCTTCCTGGTCTGTTAAAGTACCAAGTTTGCATCCAATCTTTTAAATAAACGGTTGTAGTTTTTTTAATAATATATAACAATTATGCACTAATTTGTTGTTACCGATCTGTTGTTACTTTATTTTAATTTGACAAACCAGATCTTCTCAGCGTTCTTTTTCCTGTTTAGTGAGATTGCAATAGCAGATCTTGACCTGGCCAGACCGGAGGTGAGCAAAAAAATAGCTCAGCTCTGTATTTTAACGGTAAAGAATGGAAAAGAAGTACGTGGACAGTGACGTGTGGAGGAGTAGCGGTGGATGTGGAACAGCTCTCATTGATTACCGGGACAGACAAGTTCCCCGCATGATGTACGTGAGCGGAGCACTGACGGAGTATATGGAATCTGGGGGTTACATCAGCCTGAATGCCCCATCCATAGAGTGAAACATGGTAGAGGTGGCATCATGCTGTGGGAAGTTGGTTCAGTAAATGAAGCTAAATCCAGAGGCTGCAGAGCTGAGACCAGGTCCACCTTCCAGCTGCAGAACTACTGTGAGGTCCGAAGGTAAACGAGACATTGTTTATGTTACTCGTGTTGTAGCGGCTAAGTTGTTAGCCGTGAAGAACTCCACGGTACTCCGATTTAAAGGACGTCAGACGAACATTTATTTAGTTCCACAGGGCTGTTCCGTTACAGGAGTGATCCAAGGTTAAACCACGGTTGACAATGTCTAAAGCTGGCTGATACTGCCCTAATAAACTTATAAAAACGGCTCCGGTGCAAAAACTGTTTAGCCTCCGTCTCTACTCTTTACTTCCGGCGCACTGACGCAGAAAGACAAACGCTGCCGAAAAATCTGTGAGGACAGTACGCAGGCCTCTTAAAGACGCAGCAAACCAATAGTAGACTAAAATAAGTCTAAAGTAAACCTTTCCTCATACTTAAAGGAATAGTACACCCAAAACATGATTAGCCTTCATTTTCTACTCACCCCCATGCTGAAC